TTTAGAATATAGACAGAAAGTTATTGTAATGGTTAAATTTCAGGTTTATTTACACTAATTTTTTAAGTTCTTAGTATGCCAAAACCAATTAGCTCAACTGGTAAAGCACTATGCAAAGCATAAAGGATGTAGGTTCGATTCCTGCATAGGTTACCTCTAAAAATAACTAAATATAGCAATTTGAATTAGCGCTAATTAAGTTTTACAAACAAAAAATTGGCTTGAGATGATTTATGATTTTGTAATCTTTGTTTCAATTAAACTCTAAAACAAATTCTCGTCTCAACACTACACAAATGAACCTACGTGGGATTCGTTGAGCTAGTAGCCTAATGTATGTAAAACATTCTAACTTTAAGCATTATTTTACTAATTAGTATGATGTCATGCATGTATAACACGCAGCCATGCCAGCCAATCCAGCCGTGTTAGCTGTTTTTAAGACTAACCATGACACGATCTGAGGCTACTAAATAGCTATGTTCACCTTGTTGAGATTAAGCCGATAATGTTATTTTATCAGAAATGAGTGCACGCAGTGCTATGCTCATCTCTGTTTAAGGAGTTTGGCTACTAAACATTTAAACCCTTTACTTGTTCAAGGCCTTCATTTTTTTATTGGGCCATTTTAATCCTACACATCTACAACTATGTGTCAACAACAATGAGGCTTAAGACCATCAGACATCAACCTTATTAACATTGTACTCAATTGGCTGGACTCGTAAAGGCTTGGCTAGTTCACTGATGTAGCAGTAATTTCGCCAGCCGATAGTGCCTGGTGGTTTGAGTTACAGTGGTGGCTGGGTTTGTGAGACTGATGGTCTAGGCCACCATGCTATATATAATCCATCCAAAGGATATGATAAGAAACTTCCATAAAAAAAATGTGCACAATGTCAAAGCAAATCTACTTATTGTCAAGAAAACAAGCACTACTGCACTAGGAATAAATGCAATGGTTTCATTTTGGTAGCACAATAACTATAAGCTACTGTATCCAATTTCCATTAGTTATCAAATGAAGCTTTCGACTTACATCAATCTTATGCAATTATGATCTAAAATTGAGTCTATAACAAAATTAAGAAAAAATAAATCATTCTAGCTAGGCCCACGTTAATAGATTTTGTTCAGGCCTATACGATACGAAGGAAGAAATTGAGAATATTCAACAACTTAAAGATGTAACTACCCTCTCTTGATCAAATATTTTGGCCACATATTGAGAAGTAACAAAGTTAGCACCATGCTACCATATAACTCCCTTGAGGCCTTGACTAGACGATATCATAGTTTAGAACAAAAAAATCATCACACATGATACATACATATAAAATCATACATGATATGTAGAACATAAGGAGCAGTGTTTAGAACATAACAAAATAAAATCACATGAAATCAAACCTGAATAAGTATAAGATAATGAAGGACGCTGATAAGCTAAACAGTCAAATCTATGACCATCAAACATGCAAAAACCTAGAAATTTTTTAAACAGTTCAAAACACATAAAGCCCCTAAAAAACGAAAAAATCATACAGTAAAATAAATATAACACAATTGAACAAAAAACTGATAAATTTAAGATGAAATAAAATAGATCAACCAGATAAAACTTAGCACAAAAAATCTAACACAACTGAACATATTAAGCCGTAAAAATCGAACAAAAAGTGAAAACTAAAGTCGAAAAATCGAACCAGAATTGAAGAAATTAAACCGAAAAGAATAAAATAATGAAATAAATTGAACATAAACATTTAAACAATCAAAGAACTTGATGATGAAATTGATGAACTTACCAATTTGATGATAGAATTTCCACCCAAAACATGAAGAGAGAGAGAATTGCTTGAAATTTTGGAGAAAGAAGATGCGTGGAGGAAGAAGTGAGGGAGTGTATAATACACGAAATTACTAAAATGTCATTCCTATAATGTAGTTTGGGCGGTTGGATCATATTCAATCAACGGCCCTGATAGGGATTTGCTAGAATGAGAAATGAGAATATGAGAAAGCCAATTAAAAACTGCCACGTGTCCCTTATAAAGTACAAAGTACATAAGAAAGGAATATTTGCTTTTTAAAAAATTCGGAAGTGGGACATGTGCCAACTTTTATGTGGTTTTATCATATTCTCATTCTCATTCTACCAATTCTCATATACATATCGTAACGAATCTAACAAGATTTTTTTTTATCACGTATTAATCACAAGATACGGTGAAAGGGAAGTGTGTGAATAATGCTAAAGTCAAAATGCATAGACTAAAAAAAAAGGAGGTAGTAAAATAATATAAAAACTAGGTTAAACCCCGTGCAATGCACGGATGTTGAATAATTGTAATAAAAATGTAATTATATAAAATAAAACGAATCGATTCACCAGGTATTAAACGCATGCACATAAAATATATTAAATCAATAAAAACATGTGAGATAAAATATTTAATTATGTTCACTAGTAGAAATTTTGAAATAGGCACCCCCCTTTAGCACCGGTTCTTGAAAACCGGTGCCAAAAGAAAAGGACGGGATTGGAAAATTCACAGTTGGCACCGGTTCCAACCAAAACCGGTGCCAACTAATCTAATTAGCACCAGTACAAACCGGTGCCAACCAAAAAAAAAAATGAAGAAAGCAATAGAGTTGGCACCGGTTTGTCTTAAACCGGTGCCCACTTTAGTAGTTAGCACCGGTTTGAACCGGTGCCATTAAAAAAAACCAGGCTTCTCAGCTCGTATTTCTTCTTCTTCTTCTTTTCTTTCCCCCTGATTTTTCAACTTGTTTTTTCCCTCATCTCGTTCTCACCTTCTCTTCCAGGCCACCACCTCCGAATTCCCACCTTCTCCATTGAAGCCGTTTTTGAGCTCTCTCACTCCATTGAAGCAGCTGCATGCACCTCCTTCTCTCTCCATATCTCTCCTCCATTGAACTCGTGCTCTCTATTCTCCATTGAAGCGCATTCTGAGTTTTCTCACCTCCATTGAAGCAGCTTCGAGGTAAGATTTGGGCCATTGTGGTCACCGAATTTCTTCGCAACCTAGGGTTTTTCGTTGATTTGGTTTTCAATTTTGTAATTTTAGGGCTCTGGTTTTATTTCTATTTTTTGTCAAACAAAATAAGTAGGAGAAGGAGAGATTAGGTCCTACCCGCCGCCACTCACCCTTCGCCGGCCACCCTCTGTTCCCCTCAGCCGTCCTTCATGCGTCGGCTACCGACCACTAGGTAATTTTTCTAATATTTTTCCTTAACACTAGATATCAGTTATCACCTGATATTTCTGAGCAATAATTATTATCAAAACTTGAGAGATTTTTTAACATTTTTGGGTAAAATTTCGTCTTTGAATTGATATAATCAATAATCGTAGTCGGTCGATATAATCATGCAAGGTAGAATACCTAATTTTTTTGCCGAATTATTCAAATTTTGAGCGTTTACTGGAGTCGATTAATATAATCAATGAATCCTGCTAACACTGTTTTTGGTTGTTTTCTCTAATTTTTTTTCAATTTTTTGTTGCGATTTATAGTTTTTGGATTAGATATGTTTATTTTCTTGCTAATTCTGTATTAAATTGTTGTTTATATTTACGATTTTATTGTGATTTTTATTGCAATTTTCTGGCAATGTTTAGTTGACTAAGACGGACGACATTGATGCAGGTAGATGAATGGTGAGTTATTTTTTTTTGTGCGTGTGTGTGTTGGGGGAGGGGGGGTTTTGATCATTTTTTGCGCAAAAATTGTAGAGCAGTTCATAAAATGAACCATTAGGTGGTTTCTAAATATGCTTCACAATTTAGAATTCTAGACAGTTCATAATTTTGTAGCTTAAGCCTTTAACACTTCACAAACAAAATGTCTAAAGCCTTTATCACTCACTCTGTCAGACCTCAAGTCTCAATAAATCTCAATATATAACACATTGTTCTTCAAACTTTAATGCCTTTTTTTTTCCTCAAATTAACCCTGATATAGGATATTTGTAAGCTAAAATGTGTATTGATCAAGTTTATCTGCTTAGTATGATGATTTGAAGGTGTTGAGGCCTCTTTTTATTCCTCAAAAAATGTTCTAAGTTATAATTATTTTAATTTGTTTACGCTAATAAGTCTAGAAAAGGGCTGGTAAGTTCAATTATAACTAAAAGTATGTTTATGTTAGGGCCAATAAGTTGGTTAGTTTACATCAGATATCATTGGAGTTTCTAGGTGAAAAATACATAGCCTAAAAATTCTATCAGTTTTTGTTGATATATGAAGAAATGGCTCATGTTATAAATAGATAAACTTGTGCGTGAGAGGAAATTAGTTGGTGATGTGGACTCGTCTCTTGAGAAAAATAGAGAACACATGAGAAATTGTTGACATCATTTATTCAACGGTAAGTATGATATGCCTTCTATGTATGTGGGTGAGAATCAGGTAATATATTAATGGTTTTCATCATCTGTAGATGCGAATGTGGCTGGACTACATTGACGGAGACTGTACAATTTACTTTGTCAGATCTATCATTTTATAATCTATAATGATTGATTTACTGCTGATTTTCTGAATTTAATTGTGATTTTACTGTTGCTATGCTTGTCAAGAGCATCCCTTTTCCTTTTAGTAAAAAATTATGTGCAAAATTTTTGCCCTCAACTTAAGTGAGGACCAACTCCATTTTTACTTTACATGCTATGGCTAAAGGTTAACACATAAGCAATTATGTTAATTTCCCTACTCTGTCTCTCCTTTCTATTGGTTTGTGTGCCAACTCTCAAGGATGCATCAATTGAGAAACTAAGGAAGTAGTTTATTATCTTTCTGGCAAAAAGGGGATGGCTACCCTAAGTCCCAAACACGACTAGGCTATTATAGAGCTTATAAACTTTGGCATAGCCTGGATTATCAATATATCATGTTAGAGACTAGAAAGGTGATGCAGGGCACAATTTTATGTTTCATTTTTTGTTTGGCTTGTATCTGGACACCATTCTGCTAATGTTCGCTGAGTTGTCCTTTAACTTTAGCATTGCCATTGTTTGCTCCCCATTTGACTGTTACTCTTTGCTGTAGTCTTATCTTGTATGTTGACTGTATGATTCACAAGATTGATGTATGTGTAGTGCAAAGCATTTGCTGGCAGAGACAAAACTGGAACACAATGAAGCTTTACTATCCCAAGAGGCTGATGCTGATTATGTCATAGAAGTTTCAGGTGCGATCAACAGTAATGCAGCATTTTATAGGTTAGTTTCATGACTTTTGTCATTCTGTGTTTCAACTGATTGCCCAACTAGGTGAAGCAAAAGTCAATGATTATAATAGTGGTTATCAGGGGTATGATAGTAGTAATTGGTATAATGGTGCCTTGGTTGAGGAGATGGCTTCGACAATGTTGGTCAGTGGGGTTGATAGCTTTGCTAGTTTGGTGGGAGGAGAAGAAAGGATCAACCACCGGCTGAAATTATTGAGGTGAAGCAGGATGAATTGATGAAGAACCGCCCAACTGGGGATAAATCTAAGCTTATTGGAATAGCATTTGGACCTTCTTATCAGGTATATCATATTTTATAACCCTGTGTACTTTAGATTGTGCAATTTTATTGTTATTTCTTGATTGTTGGCTTGCTGCTTATGTTATTAGTTCCTTAATTGGTGAATTGTGATTGTAACTGTGTGTTTATTGGGTTGAAAGTTGATTGCTTTGGGTGTTCAGAGTCCTTCACTTTACATATGGGAAAAATGTGGTCAGACTTTTTTCTTTGGTACTAAATTTTCCTTTTCTGCGACAGCTGAGTTACTCCATGGATCCTATGGGAAAAATTGCATCCTTTTTAAACAAAATAGTTTCGTGAATAATAATAGTGGTTATGATGACAACTCTGAAATGTTTAGGAAATCAGAATCCAGTAAACTTCGTATTGGAGTATGGCATTTGGAAGATGGTTCCCATCTTAGTTTAATTGAATCACACCCTGGCTATTCTAATCTATTTTGGCCGCCTCCATCTTGGATTTAGACGAAAGACAAGTATGTTTTCAGTCATGGTTTGATTGGTTTATGTTCTTTACTATGATTAGCTGTTTTGTGATTAATTCTTCTATTATATTTCTCATTGAAGTACCATATCAGAAATCGCCGCTGCACTTTTGGTCCTGCGCTCTTTCCTTTCAATGAATCTCTAACAATACAAAAACATAATCTTCCATTTTTATATACACCAAATCAGGCATAAACTCATAGGTAGTTTAGGTTATTATCCATTTGGCTCTTGTTTCCCTAGATTGTTTAAGTTGCTTTATAAAAAAAAAAGGTGGAAGCGCATTTGAGACTTTGCTTACTGCTAGGAGCAAGGTATATTTTTGGACTAATTTGCTGACGTTTGAGACTTTGCTTTGAATGATACATTTGTAAAAATACTGTTACATTGGATTCTGAATAAGCTGTTGTTGGTGGATTTCTTTTAGAAATGTTGAAACCAAAGTGCTGATTATGCTTGGATTACCATGCATACGTAGTTATCTCTTAAGATCTTGGTAGACATTCATTATGGGTGGATTTCTTTTCTACTATGGACTGAAAACTATCCAACCCTATGTCAATTTTTTAAGAATTAATTCAATTTTAGTAAAGTTGGTAGAGTATCAATCGGATGTGCATGTAATAACTGGATGATATTGTTTGGGCTATTTTGTGTAGGTATATGACTAATTCTAAGTTAAATGTTTATAATCAATCTATTTGAAGTTGAAAAATGGTGTTACTGTTTATTGTTTCCTTGGGTGAGTCGTGAAGCTATTATTACTAGACTCATTTTATGGAAGAGGTTTATTTTGCAGTTACTATGTAGAACAACTGATATAGTGCAAATGTGAATCAATTCGTAGAACACCTTGAGTTTTATTTTTAATGTCACCTATTTAACTTTTTTTTAATTGAAGTTTTGGCATACTCATTCTACCTTGCTTTGGAGTATCTTTGGATAGCGACTTGTTTGTTCATTGAAGATTAGCTGATTATGCATGCACTACTGGCAGTTGAGAGCATTTGGTTCAGCTGTCTGTTGATAGTCTGAACAGCTTGATCTCCGATATCTAAGATTTGGCAGGTTTATTGGATTTAATGTAATGAATCAGCTAGAACTTAGGCAAAACTTAGGTGATGTGTATGAATAATTTGTTGAAACTTGCAAGTCCTGGTGCTGTGTACTAATGTTCACAGGTTTCTGCCATTGAAGGGAGGGTAGTATTACTCTTGGTTAGATAGTCTATGCTCCCCGTACCCGGAGGCTAGTTTGCTTGGCTTGGACCCGCAATCGTTATATCTACCAACGTTCTGGAATTTAGAACAAATAATGTGTAAATTTCGTACTGTTAATATACTCGAGTAAGAGTTGACTTGTGAACAGTTCTCATGTACTATGCAAATCTCATTTCCTTTCCAGAAGGCTATTTCCATACTGTCATTTGTAATGCATAGGAGTTTCGAAACACAACTGTTAATACTGATCTCCATTTATTCATCAGACTATTGGAATTCATCTTTGATTAATGTTCATGTATTTACTCAGTTTGTTAATTTTTTTTTTTATGTACGTTTTGCCTTTAGCAAAACTGTTGAGTGCTTAAGCACAGCAAAGGAAAAGCAACAAATTCTGAAGGAAGAGCAGCCACCAGCACAAGACAGCCTGCCTGAACAGAAGCGAAATCAATCACCCAGCCAGCTTGAACAGAGAAGAAACACAGCCACAGAAGAATTGCCACAACCATCAGAGCAGAAACACAGCCACAGCCACCAGGGCAGAAACACAGTCAGCAAAACAGCCACCAGCACAAGACCAGGACATCTAGTTAAATGAAATGCAAGAAAGATCGATCAGAGATAAGTCTAGATTATTTAAATTTTTTTGGACGAAAACTGTAATATTACAGCCTTTTTTAATGAAAATATTTAACTTTATATATGTTAATGTTTCTATATCAATTTAAGTGAAAAAAATGCAAAATTTTTTATATTTTTTATTTTATTTTTTTGGGGTATTTTTTGGCACCGGTTTTGACCAGAATCGGTGCCTAAAGTGGGGTTTTTTTTGCACCGGTTCTTGCTTTGAGCCGGTGCCAATAGTATTAAATAAAAAAAAACGCGCCATGGTAGTTGGCACCGGTTAACCGGTGCCATAGCATGTAGTTGGCACCGATTAACCGGTGCCAAATCATGTAGTTAGCACCGGTTAACCGGTGCTAAATGCTTTATTTGGCATCGGTTTTTAACCGGTGCCAAATTTTTATGGATTTGGCATCCCTCAAATACCCAACGGTTCAAAACCGATGCCAAAGGGGGGGTTTGAACCGGTGCCTTTTATCTTTTTTGTCTAGTGGTTATAATTATAATGTGCAAGATGATAGTTTAATTAGGAAGTTTCCTTTAGATTTTATATAAAATAAAAGTCATAATATAGATGCAAACTTTATTTTATATAACAATGACTTTTTTTTAAAAAAGTGATTTTGGCAGGAAATTTTTTTTAATAATACATTGCAAAGTTTCCCCTTAGATTCTCTTCTAGTAGTATTTAATAATAAGTTGGGATAGTAGTAGTAAATTTTATTTAGTTAGGCAATGATGTGAATGAATTTTACTTGTTATGAATAATGGGGTGAGCAGGTGAGGATAGGGAGGAATATGTGGATCAACATTCATATCCGATTTGCTCTATTGACATATCTAGTTTCCATACATTTAAACAGGAAAATTTCCATAATTGATTTTAGATGACACATTGCATTTAAGCACGTTTGCTAATACATACTTTCTAATGCAAATATTTTTGGTTACATAATACTCCCTCCGTTTTATAACAATTGCAACACTTTCCTTTTAAGTCTGTTTTATAATAATGGAAAATTGGCTTAAAATAATACCAACTATCAACGGTGTGTGCAAAATGATATGAACTCAACTATTTACAATTAGCCGTACCACCTTTTGTACTATATGTGCAAAATAGTACGTCGGTCACCGGAAAAGTATCGCGAGGAATATTTCGTCTATATTTATTATTATTTATTTTTGTTTTTAATTTTCTGTTTTCTTTTCAAAATACATACTCCCTCCGCCCACGGTTATCTGCAACAATTGCCCAAAATGGATGCTTCTATTATTTGCAACAATTTTTTTTCTTTCCTTTTTTGGTAATATTTAACTATTAATTACCCACTATTACCCACTTTTTGGTTAGTGGTCCCCTCCACCACTTATTACCCACTACCTAAAACCCACTACAAATATTTGTGTTCACACTACAAATACCAAATATACCCTTATTTTTCAACAATTAAATGTTTAGTTTATATATATCATCATATGGGTAATTTTGTATTTTTACCTTTTTCTCTCATTAATTAAACCCACCAAAAATCAATTAACACTCCCCTAAAAGTTTTTTCTAGGATTCCGAAAATATGTCCTTTGTTGCATACAACCGTGGGCGGAGGGAGTATTATAGTAAAAATTTCCTTTACATTACAATTGATCCAAATTAATAATGCTCCACCCCTTCTCTAGGCTTTTTTTTTTTTTAATCATCAATATGTATTTAAATATTTATTTGAAAATACCTGTAGTAATTTCTACTACCATACAATAGTAGATAGGGAATTTAAATGAATTATTATTTTGATATAAATAGTTTCAAAAATTGTTTAAAAATCCAAAAAATTTCCCCACATTATTTTGGTTGATGAATGTGAGGAAATTTTAAAATTTTGAAGCAAACTAATAATATCAACATAATAGTGCATTTATATACCCAATTTACTATTGTGTGATAGTAAAAATTACTACAGGTATTTTGAAAAAGTAAAATATTTAAATACATATTGACTGTAATCCCCCGTATTTTTAAATATTTTATAAATGAAATTTTATTTTATTTATAATATTTATTTGTATTTTTCCAGAATTTAATTTTAAAAGTTTCAAATTGTTAATTTGGGTCAAAATTTATTTTAGGTTAAATTATTTTATGAACCTATATCCTATAATCCATTATCATAAACACAAAGCCTAACCCATTTGTTTATTTGATTGGCCCATTATTTTCATGTGGCCCAATTCTACCCTACAATTATCTTCTATAAATACCCCATGAATCCCCAAATTTCCCCCCACACAAAAAGGTTAGTCTTATTTTCTTCCTCCTTTTTTTCTTATTATTTTCATAAAGCTTATGTAATTGATATTTGGGTTTTGGTTTTTATTGCTTGAAATTAGTTTATTTAGTATCAAAATCATGTTTTTGGTGTTTTAAACTAATAATTTCATATTATAATTGCTGTTTTAATTTTCAGATTTTGTAATTTTAAACCTAGGGTTTTAATTTAGTTAAATTGGGATTTTAGGGTTCTAATGATCAATTAATTTGGGGCTTTTGTTCCTATTGTATTTTAAATGATTAATTAAGCATAAAACGAATTTTCAGTTTTCCGTAATCAACTTCTGATCTCCTTTCTTAATTTTTTTTTCACGTTTTAATCACATTTAGATTCTAACTCGTCCGATTTTTACAATAAATTAGTGTTTTTCGTGTATAAACGATGTTTTAATCAAACCACATTACCTTTAGTAGTGATCATCCCCCTTTCGTGGCCAAATTCAGTCTCTAAATATGGTTTTCAGGCAGTTTTTGATTTTTAACAAAGGTTTAATGTTTAAAATAAATTTTCAGATTATCAAAGTTTTAATCTTGGATTTAAATAAACGACTGCTCGTTCGAGAACTACGATCTTTGGCTCTGGAACTGAGTGTATTGATTTCATGTGTTTCAAGTCTCTAATTTCATTAAACAAAGGTTGTGGTTATTTTATGATTATAAAGTTTGGAACTTGAAAGTTTAATTGCAAGAATAAATTTTCAGATTTTTGGTTAGTGTTTTTGGAGTCTTTAATTACATTGAATTGAGGAGATTTTGGGTTTAAAGCATACAAACCTTCTATATAATGTTTGTAGTGATAAAAATTTCAAATTTCAAGTGTAAAATAAATTTTCAGATTTTTATAAAGCTCTAAACTAGTTGTAATTTCATGAATAAGTATGTATTTCAAGGTATTTATGTAGGAAACTTAAAGAACTACATATAAGCCTTTAATTCTAATAAAAGGGAAGGTTTTAAAGTGTTGTTTAATTGAATTTTAAGGGTTTTAAAGTAAGTTAGTATTGCTGTAAATGTAGCCACATCGTATTACCTTCACCCTTTCAAATATACAATCCTTTCTTGATAAACCACATTGAGCCTCGTCCAACGATTAATCTTTTTTCAACCCACATCTACCTAACCTTGGGATGAGATGGTGCGCAACTTATGCAATCTTCAAAGTCAAAGCAAAAGCTTGAGTGATTTTCCCGAAAGTTAAAAAAAGCAATAAAAGTATGCAAAAGGGCAAGTGTTCCAATGTCTTTGTTATGAACACGTCTCAGATTGCTTCTCTTATCGAATGCTCGGTACCATGCCTGAGAAACATGAATGCCAAGTGAGTGATATGCTGCATGATCGAGATTGCTTGCATTTATCCAAAAGAAGATTTAGAAACAAATCTCAAATGCAAAAAAAAAAAAAAACAGAAAAAATAAATTCAAAAGTGAGAAACCTCGAGCATGCAAATACCAAGATTCAAATGCAAGGTTGCACACCTTAGGGGCTCATGGGTCTTGAGCCTTTATTCCTTCTTCTTTAACCTTTAGCCTAACCCCGTTACAACCCTTGAAAGACCTCCTTGAGGTATACACACACTTGTGCGAGGTTCGACTCGAGCTACATTCGGCCTGATTCCTAGTGGATACGTAGGCAACCTCATATTGGGGTGCGGCCGTAATAATTATTCATCACGTTCATTCATATTCATGCATGATCATATTAAGGGATCTCCAATGCTAATCCCTATCCATTTAGAGCTAGACTTGGGGGCTTGATCCCTACTTCATTAGCCTACCCAGCCTAAAAGTCACCATCATTTGACTCTTCTCGAAATATTTTTCCACACCCTTAGACTTCGCAGCCTAACCTTAGTGTCACTCTCACACACGTCACACATACATAGCCAAATAATCCTTCCCTTAGGAACCTTTTGTCATGAAATCTTGATACAACTTTGCAACATGCCTTGTCATCTTAGAATCACTCATTATCATTGCATCACAAAGTATGAGGTACTTAGCCTCTGTGCCTAAGTTACCCAAATACTTTCATCATCGAATCATTAATTAAGATAATCTAGGATCATCAATCCTAGAACCATGAGATACAACAATTAATGTATACCCTTGATTAAGCTCATTCAACATACATCAATACCTGATTCATTCTCTTCATCTTTTTCCTTTTAAGGAAGTTCAAAAACTTCGGTTTTCCCCCTACACTTCATCTTTTTTCACGTCTCTCTTTTCGGGAGAAAGTCAGTACCCTCCACAAATATGGCGGAAAATTTTTCCTTTTCTGCATTTTCGAGTTGCACGAGCACAATCACAACACAATGCATCAAGTCACATCACATCGAGTTGAGTCTGCACACACAGTCATGTAATTGAGTCACAACACATTGAGTCGATTTGAGCACATTAAGTCACACAATGAGTCAAGTACACCAAGTCTACCCCAAGAAAACCACTAGCAAAGTCCTTTTTTAATATTTGATTTTACAAGATACAACAATTCATCGAAGCTTTTGTTCGAAGTCAATCAAGCAATTTCATCAAATCATCGAAACTTCTGTTCGGAGTCAATCAAACAAATTTCACCATCCGTCACCGATTCTTTGAAGCTCCTGTTCGTAGCCAATCGAACACTCTCACCTTTCCAAAAGCTTTTTTGTTCAAAGACACGTGAACACCCTTCCAAAGCTCTTGTTCAGAGACAAGTGAACATTCCTTG